TGAGGGGCTGTGGGTTCATTGTTGTCTCAAATCAAATTGATATAGTGATCAGGTTTGCCATGCAATTCACTAAGTACAATTACCCACCATAAACTCCAGTCAGTCAAAATGACTATTTTGAACTGTAGGCATTAATCTGCGATTGACGGAGAGAGAAGTCTAGATCAGGGGAAGCCCCATGACATGTAACACGTGATCAAGACAAAGAGATCGATGCCATCTTGCCTTGTCTTCACTCTCCTGTTTTCTCCCCACGAGAGTGCATCGTAGCAAAACAGAAGAGGTTCAGTCGACAGTTTTATCTCAAGTTTCTGAGGTACTCCTGTAAACCTTCTTGTAGCAGTAGGGCATGATCTCGGGCAATCTGATTAAAATCTGATGTAGTGTACGGGCTTTAATTATTATTTTACTTTGATTTTGATTTTGTGATTTTTTTTTAATTCCGCCCTACATACATCTGGTCCGATGCCTATGTAAGTCCCGTTCAAATCTTGCGTAAGTAACAGCCAATCACAGCCCCCCTTTTATACATGCTGTCGGTTGCTTACATTTCAGTGTAGCGATACTCAACGGGCAATCTTTCTGTACATTATATTTTGCCCACTTGAATAAACTATTAATAGAAAATTGCTAGTATATTTTTATTCACAAAAGAAATTCCACAGCATTTTACAATTTTTGTCATTACATTGAAAATTTTGTTCACTTCCAACAAATGTGTACACTTCCTGATACATTTTCCTGATATCAAACACTGAGCATAATTATCTAGAATGGAAGCAAAAAAATAAGTAAATCGTAAATCGTAAACAGCTATAGTAAACAATACAAACTGATTTTAAATTGTATAACGGTCACCAGCCCACAGCATCGACGCAAAAAATTGGAGCAAAAAAAACGATGTGTTCTAAATAAAAAATATTTTATTCCAGTCCAAATCAGCTCAATTACTAGTACTTTAATAAAGAGTTATTGTATAATGTACAAAATATTGATACATTTTGACGAATATTTACAGCTATGGCTTCAATACCGTGGACGATCATGATTTTGGCCGATCGTCAACAAAACATCACCCGTCTCCAGGGCAAGCGCCTGGAAAAAAACACCGGTGTACGGTCGAACCGGTGGAAACAAAATCGTCACTCCCAGAATAACTACGCAAAATAACGATCTAAACTCGAACCATTCGAGCCACAATATAAACATAAAAAAATGACTTTCTCGTTGCATTTGACAATGATAAACTTACCGAAAAGCCGTGTTTTTCTCTCGGCCACTAACGTTGGCATAATCTGCCATTTTATTTGAGTGTGTTTGCCACCTGACTCTGCCCAGTGACGTCATCATGTGCGCTATAGGAGGTGATGGTCTGTGATTCGTTGACTAAAATCGTCGATAGTGGGTCTCGTTGAATCACGTTACATAGGCATCGGGTCAGATGTATGTAGGGCGGAATTAAAAAAAAGTAAAATAATAAAATAAAAGGCATTAATAACAAAAGTAATAAAAAATAAAATAAAAATAAATTTATAGCCAAAATAAGTAAAGCCTGTACACTACATCAGATTTTAATCAGATTGGATCTCGGGTAGAATAACATTTTTACTTTCTTTTGGGCCCTGTGTCTTTTATACCGTATACAAAAAACTTGGGTGATGCATTTTGGCCACTTTTGTAGGGCTTCATTGTGTCATTGTGTCATTTGTAATTTTGCTCCACTCACGTGCCTTGTTCATTTCTTGACGTAGTAAAAATGGACAAGAGAATGGGCAAACACTAAAAGAAGAGCTCCTCTCCTGTTTTGTCACCCAAAAGAACGACACAGACTAACAGAGTTTGTCATCAAGATCTGCTGGCATGGAACCCGCCCTCAAAATGCCATCTTTGCCTCGAATGCATGCAGGGTTTGGGGTTTTGCCTTGAAGGCGTGTGTGCAAGTTGGGACCCAAATAACCTGGGATAGTTTCCAAAGTCACATGCAGGGGGCCAAGGATGATTGTGTCACCAGAGCTCGGGGCTAATCGCGTGATTGGGTTGGGTGGCGTGGCGGACATGAGTGAGAGGAGTGTTAGTATGGGTGGAAAAGCCCTCCTGTTCGACTGCCAGTACCTGGGGTGCTGAGACGTCGAGTGGTGGGCCCGCAGTGGTGGATCCCCCTACCCCTGCTGACTGGAGGGTATCCTTGCAGCCTGTTTATTACAGATGGCGGTTTGCTCGGCCATGCCGGAAACAACAAGGCTGTGCCCCTGGAGCCGAGTGCTTGGATACCGGGTTTGCCTCCAAGATTGGGGCAATGTTCGAGAGCCTGTCAGGACAAATTTTGTCCCTGGCACTGCTGACACCTCTCGGTCGGCAAGCAGGAGAAAGCACTGGTGCACTGGGTGAAGGGGATGTCCGCAATCAGTGGAGTTTCTAGACATCTTCGTCAGACCACTCCCTGAGCAATCAAGCACCCCTACTCTCCTGAGGCAGGGAAGAGTAGCCCCCCTTCCACACACACACACACACACCGAAGAATGGACCAGCTGGTGGGTTCTTCTCTTTCTTGGGTCTTTCCCCCCCAAAAAAAAAAGTTGCAGGGGAAGCAAGTTTGACACGGGCAAGTGTTCGGCGGAGCTTTTTGACTCTACAAACCTCATGGGCACTCACCTCGGTAGAGAGTTCGCCCCAATGTAGAACAGCCAAACCCATGGCCAAATATGCCTGTCGCACTCAGATTACGCCGATGTATTCCGGCTTGGAGGCAGCGGGTAACTGACCCCTGGATGCTCCAGGTGGTGATGCACAGTTACAAAATTCCGCTGCTACCCCCTCCTCAAGTTGGGGGTGCTGCCAGGGGATCCCCTCAAAGCAGAAGTAATCTAACAGGAGGTAGACAGTTTGCTTACAAAGGACGTCATATGCAGAGTAGAAGACCCGGCGACAAGTCTGGACTCTCAAACGCAAAAAGCAAGCTAAATCAGTATGTACTCCTCTATTGGTTCCGCATGGAGACACCAAACACAGTTTTACTCTCCAGGCACCGTTTAGATTGGTTAGCTTCACTATTCTTAAGCGATACTTACCGACACATACCCATGCACCCAGTGAGCCATCCGCTCTTTCGATTTGCCCATTTGGGCCAGGTATTCAAATTCAAGGTACTCCCCTTTGCGCTATGCACGACTCCACGTGTTTACCAGAGTAAAACAGGTGGTGCTGCTGCTGCATCAGTACACGTCAACCCGTACCTAGAAGACTGGCTGCTACACAACCAAAACAAGTAAGGCTAACACAGAATTTACTACACGAATTTGGCTTTCAAGTAAATCTAAAAAAGTACCTCCCGCACCCACACATCAGTTGGTGTTTCTGGGCATGGAATTTGACACAAAGGCAGGCTCAGTGCGGCCATCGCAGGCTCGTTGCCTAGCATTAAGCAGCCTAACCAAACATTTAGTCATTGTACCCTCTGTGTCGGGATGATGACATCAGTTTGCAGGGTAGTTCTCCATGCTGCACTGTGCAGCCGCCTGGTGCAACATGCTTTGCTGCTACACCAGTCTCACCTACGGAAACTAGAATGGTGAGTAACTCTCTCAGACCAAGCGAGGAATACCTTGCTCTGGTGGATGGTAATTTCAAACTTCAGGCAGGGGGCCCCCTTGGACCCACTCGCCACAGCTGACTCTGATCACTGATGCCTTCCTCACAGTTTGGGGAGCGCACCTAATGATCGATCAAGCCCAAGAAATATGGCCCCTGCATTGGATTCAGGACCACCATATCAACTGGCTCAAACTGAAAGCGGTGCACTTGCTACCCATAGTTCGGGGGGGGGGGGGGCAAAATCCCCATCACTGGGGGAGTGAATTCTCCATTGGTGTCTGGAATACAATGTGGAGCTAACTGCATACCACCTTCCAGGGGTGCGGAACAGTCAAGTGGATGCCTTTTCACAGCGACTCCGGTTTCAGAACAGGGAGTGGCAAGTACCCAAATGTGTAGCATCCAGAATGTTTCGCCACACCCCGGAATCCTAACCTCCCGGACATATGTGACGTTCCTGCAAACCCCAGGAGCATGGGCCACAGACGCACTGACAGGAGCATACCTGCATCTTGACGCTGGTGGCACCCAATTGGCCAACCAAGGCCTTGTTTCCACTACTGTTGGAATTGTTAGTCTATGCACTAATAGTGCTTCTGGACATTCCAGATCTGCTGTCCCAACCACTTACTAGTACACGCAACAGAGGCTCTCAGTAGACTTGCACTGTCGGAAGGTTTAGCTGTGTGGGTGAATAGGGGTTCTACCAACGCAGCCTGACTCCAAATGGCAGGCATACTTTGATTGGTGTAGTGTAAGGGAGGTTGATCCATGCCACCCCAAAGATGCAGGTATAAAATGACTGGTGTGGCCTTCATATCTAATTTGCAATATCCTCATATCTTTTGCATACCTAATGTTTAATAAATTCTTGATTTCATAAGGTGCTCCGTATGTCTATTTTCCCCACTATCTTAGTAGTTTCAGTACTTTTTTTTTGTTTTTCCTCAGATACAGGCCAGAAAACATTTGAAATCGTATTATAGAAGCATAATTTAGGTGCAATTGAAAGAAGCCAGCATTCTGTTAATCTTAGCATGGATGAAGCAAGTACTGTACAAGTTAAGCCTGCACCACCTCCAAATAATGACTATGGTGAATTACCATGCCTTGAAGACAGTACAGCGGAAAGCACGGACACAAGTCCTCCAGCACATTCTGAGGTAATGGAGAACTCAACTATCGGTCCAGTATCACAACTAAATAGAATGTCTTTCAATTTGGATGACACACTACCAGTACAATTCAATCGAATAGCCTCAGATATGGAAAGTAGGATGCAACTGATCAAGAAAAAAAGACGACGAAACCCAAACACAATGCTTGAATGCGATGAATGTAGTGCTACATTTCGATTATTGCAGGATTTTATTAAGCATAAAAAGTTGCATGCTGGGGAGGAATTGTACCAATGTCATATTTGTGGTAAGACGTACACACGTCGTGATAACATGAAATTGCATATGAGGATTCACATCAAAGAAAGGCCATTTTCGTGTGTTCAGTGTGGCGAGACTTTTCGTTATCGACCAAACTTGACTCGGCATAAGCATACCAAGCATGGTCTTCCCAAAGCATATTCTTTATCTGTGCGTAAAACAGTGCAACCACGAACTGCTGATACCGAAAGGTCAATTTTGACAGGTCTTCTACCGCACTATGGAATGTTTCCCCAAAATAACTCTGTTAATTTGGATGGATTACAGTCTCTGGTCAATTCTGTGCAGTCAACCTCCACAGCAGTCAGTGCGACAAATCAGATATCCAATCAAGCCATGTTAAACCAAACTATTGAAATGGGACACAGTGCACATATGCCAATCATTGGTCAAGTATATTCTCTTAATGAGCAGCAATCCCCAAATTATTCTCATATACCTGTATCACAGATTGACCAATCAAGATTGCAGTCACATGCACATTATTTAGACAAAGAATACCTACACAGATCTCAAATGCTTTCAATACAAAACCATGCCGGAAATAGTAACAATGTTACAGACCAGGAATCCAATCCTAGTGCATCAAGTCCCTCGTTACCTCATTCAGTCAGCGAGGGCAGCAACTCCATTAATAGGAAAACTGAAGAATTAATTTCACATTCACAAACAAGCGACGACAAAGAAATAAATAATGATGTATTAGCGGTTCACTGGAAGGTAGATAGAAAAGAAGGTATGATTCGTGAAGTTATTGATGAGACAAAACATTGTGGGAAAGACAGAAACGATCCCTCACAGGAAACTGCTTTGCTAGATAAGGATAGTGCCAGGACCAATACTGATCATAGGGATGACACTGCATGTAGTAATAGTCAAGATGACACAGAGAAGTGCACTGATGACGTTCCTTGTTCTTCGCAAACCGATGAAACATCATGTAGAAATAGTCAAGATGTCACAGAGAAGTGCACTGATGTTCTTTATAGTCCACAAAGAAAGGAAGAAAGGTTGAAAAAAGTTAATATTGTTGGCAAATCCAATTCACCAACAAGACTCCCATTATCTAGAGTTAGTTTGAAACTAAATAGCCATAATCTTTTGAGATTGGGAAGTCGTCGAAAGCAATGCTTGCCATTAAGACTGTCCATGGGACTTGCTAAAAAAAGCAATGAAGTGTTAATCAGAGATGAAGATGGAGCAGAAGATAATGAGACAAGTAGTAGTGTTGAATGTACATCATGCGAGCGTTTTAATGAATTTAAATGTCAATATTGTGAGATTGCCTTTCCTGATTTGTCTATGTTCATGATTCACCGTGGTTGCCACGGGAGAGAAGGTGCCTTCCAGTGCAATGCATGTGGACAGGATTGCAAAGATCGTGTGGAATTCAATGCACATATTATCAAGGGACACTTTATGTGAGTTGATTAACTGTGTACATAGATCACACTGCCAATTCATAAAGAAGCAGTAACACTTCTGTTTTCATGATTATTGTGAACTAAAGATAAAGAAATTTTTAAACACATTGCATCATAAAAATACTGCATTTCTAAGTGCACAGACTCTATTTGCTTTATTAGAAGTGTATCTCCAATACAAGCTCATATAAACCGAAAAACTTATAGAATATAATACAACTTGTTTTCACCATAGGCACTCTTCTCTTCTAATAGAGCAAATACGGTACAATTATTATTATTTGCATTTATTTTTTTTTCTTCTAAAGCTGAAACCTATTTATGTTCAGGAAAATAAATTATGATTTTTAAGCTTATTCTCAAGTACAACAAGTTTTGGAAATTGTTCTGCATCCTGTCACAGACTAGTTTTATTATTTACTAACTTTACTTTTTGTTAATATATTATTAACTTTTTATTGTTCTTGGAACACTCGTTGAGGAAATCATTACTATTTCGATTTCAAACTAAATATTGAGGAGCACGAATAAAAATAAAAATAAAGCAGTGCCTCCTAAGTATGCTGGGACACCATGCGTAAATTTCAAAACTCAAAACATAAACTTAAACATTCTGAATGTTTATATGGAGAAGACTTCAGCTGCAATGTTTGTGTTATTGTTTGCAGAAAGAAACATTGTTTTATGGCCATACTCATGGCCACTTTAAACATTTTTCAGTTTGGGCATTGTGTGTCCACAAGCATGTTGTATTTCTGTACTGTTGATCAAATCATGTCATCTCTGAATGTCAGTATAATCAGCAAGTTTTTTGTTCATTTTTACTCTTTCTTTGTCTGAACTGAAGGAGTATATAAACAACTATCAGTGTGATGTGATATTAGCAATACAAAATATGCACACAGGCATAAATCATGAAAAGTAAAGAAATATTTTTGTTTTTAAAAGTAAACCTGGTCACAAGATAATTATTGAGTAGGTAATTTCTCAGTTTGTGTATTTAGTTATATCCATACAATTATTGTCATATTTATGGCATAAAATCACTGCTGTAATATTCTTAGTCATATACCTGTATACTGTGAAAGGATTAATTATTCATTGGGTTTTAATTTTGCTTATTTTGCTGACTGGAAAATGCGCTAAATTAAAACCCAGTGAATATGTAAAATTGAGCATAGAACACGATATCTAAATGATAAAACTCTGAATTTAAAACCGACCGAATATGCGTGAAATGCTTATTTCAGTGAAATTTATACCAGTGAAAATTACCCGGTAGTCATTTTACAGTATTCCTTTCGACCATAATATAATGGAGTTCTTTATAACCACTGGACTAGATTGTTTACAGTCAATCATAACCTACATCTGATTTTCAAAAAGCTTAAATGTTTCGGTGCTTATTAGTCCATGATCGGACACGGTTTGGTAACTGGAACTGATGGATTGACCTCTATGTGTGTGTTTGTGTGCGTGCGTTTGTAGTACCAAACGTTGTGACGACTTCACTTTAACTTTACACCGACTTGTGACAGAACCTACATTATGACGACCCTCACTATTTTCATAATTTATATTAATATTTAATCAAATTTAAGTAAATTGTGTGTAGCTTCGGTTCAGTAAAGGCGAAAGGTATGGTTCAATTTATATTAATATTATTATAATTGTACCATATTCAACTTTTATTTAATTAATTAAACTTGAATATAAAGGCAACTGTATAGACTGACAACTGACATTGTATTTGTTCTTTGATATGATTTGAAATGGTTAAATAGCAGCCATTTGAAGGCTTATGATGTATCAAAATCAACCATTTTTACCATTTCGCAACTGCATCTCAGTAGTGTATGGATTTGATTTAAACTTGATACACATGTACATACATTAAACACAATAGGATCTTAATGCACATCATTTTTATATTTTTTGGATTAAGCTCAAAATGGCTGACTGATGGCCAATTTGTTTTAAAGAATGCAGTTTCAGATTCATATATCTGAAATGCCTGGACTGATCAAGTTCAAACTTCACACAAACATTCAGACACGTGCATTTTTGTTACCATCAAATCTAAAATAGATTACTGCAAGTCTTCTTTGCTGCAG